CTTGCGGATTTAGGTAACAGAGACAAAAAAAACTGTCACATAAAGGTTCAAGGGTACCGTTGTGTATCGGGCGTGCAACTCCCGAAACTATAAATTGCGTCTACAGCCCCTTTAAGCAGTTAAGGACGAATAATTGATCCCGCCTTTGGGTGACTGGAGAGATATGTAGAGGGTCGGAGAGCTGTAATTAAACCCAATGGTTAAACAATGTTCCATGTTAATACTTGACAAATTAATCTTAGATAATTAATTTAATTCGGATAATTACTTTCGGTCATGGGATTTATTAGTTGTTTACAATGTAAAGCTTTAAACAATATTTTGATATTTTGATACCCCAAACATTTTTAAAATTTCCTGGACTTATTTTTATGGTTAGTCGTGTAGTGTAACTAGTGGTGATTAAGTGTAATAGACGTGTATGATACTTGTACTAAAGGTTGTAATTATTTACGCACACGTGGAAACTACTAATTATTTGCGTATATACTTAACCTGGAGCCTTTAATGTTTGTTTCTTGTATTTATAGTTTATTAGTGCGTATTTTACCTTGGCTTCTCATGACCCCCAGGTTTAAGATGAGTAGGTTTGCATGGTATTAAACCTTAGTAACTTGGTAGAACAGGAAAACCGTTCGGATAGAGGGAGAGAGAACAGTCTCAGAGATACGGAGAAAGTAAAACACGAAGAATGTAAGAATGATAGTATTACAGATAATAGAGAATAAATGAAGGAATGATCGGAGGAGAGATGATTTAAGGAGGATAGAACGGAGAAGAGATTATTTAAGAAGGATGGATCGGAGAAAAGATGATCGAAGAAGGATGGATCGGAGAAGATATGATTTAAGAAGGATAGGACAGAGAAGATATCATAAGAAGGATGGATCGGAGAAGAGATGAGCAAAGAAGGATGGATCGGAGATGATATGATTTAAGAAGGATAGGACGGAGAAGATATCATAAGAAGGATGGATCGGAGAAGAGATGAGCAAAGAAGGATGGATCGGAGATGATATGAGCAAAGAAGGATGGATCGGAGAAGAGATGATTTAAGAAGGATGGATCGGAGAAGATATCATAAGAAGGATGGATCGGAGAAGAGATGATCAAAGAAGGAAGGATCGTAGAAGAGATGATTATAAAAGGATAGAACGGAGAAGATATCATAAGAAGGATGGATCGGAGAAGAAATGAGCAAAGAAGGATGGATCGGAGAAGATATCATCTAAGAAGGATGGACCCCCCCCCTCTTCAAACTTGGATAGGCCGGAGAAGAGATGATCTAAGAAGGCTAAATCAGAGAAGAGATTTTCTAAGACGAATTTAAAAGATGAGATTTTTAATTTTTAACGGAGATTAACTAAACCAGAAGTTCGGTTGATGGAAAATGAGAGGGAATTTTTTTAGATAATTTCACAAAACACAGAGTACTTGCCAGTTCAGAGATGGATATAATAAACAAGATTAATCAAAAAAATAAATACTGAAAGTAAGTCTGTATTCTGTCTTCTATGAGAATGTTAGTAAACGAGAAAGTGATGTGTGAAGGATGTTTAATCTGTAGAATCTGTGTGACGTGAGCTGTGGAAGCGTGACTATGTAGATTGTTTAATATGAATTGACTAGCCGGTGGGAGAACCCGGAGAACTAAGAGAAGCTACCCATCCATCTCTTCTCATCAGTTCACTGTCCAGTTTATCAATCTATCCATCAATCTAATTTTCTATCCGTCCATATCCATCTACTTCTCTATCCATCCATCTACTTCTATATCCATCCATCTACTTCTCTATCTATCAATCTACTTCTCTGTACATAGATCTACTTCTCTATACATACATCTACTTCTCTGTCAATCCATCTGCTTCTTTTTCTATCAATCTACTTATGTATGCCATCTACTTCTCTTTCTATCCAGCTACTTCTAACCTTTCGTCTAATTATACAACAATCCTATTTGTATGAAGAATTTTACCAGAGTTCTATCTGTTTATCTGGTTTATCTTTAAGCTAAATATCTCATTGTTCTCCAGGTTTTCATCTAATTAATTCAACTTTTTTCTTTATTTCTCCTTGTCACAATTCTCCTGTCTTCATATTCATCATATATTCCGGTATTTAGTAAACCAATTATCCATCTATCCATCAATAAATCTATTCATCTATCCATCTATAGAACTGATGGATCTGTGGTAAGATAAACCGCTACAATTAATAATCAATCCTGGGACGCGTTTAAACCCACATTATCAGTGCTCAGCTTCCTTTCTATTTATTCCTAACCAGACCTTGCCTAACATCGTTACATCATTCACCAGTAATCAACACTCCACACACACAATTAATTATAAGAGAGAAAATCTATCGGGTTCGGTTTTCAATGTCCATTGATTTGAATTCAGCAGGTCCTAAGAAATGTTTCGTGCTAATCATAGCCTAGTTTTGTTGTATATCTTTCTTTATAATAAAGCTCTTCGCTCGTATATATATATATATTCATATGTTAGCTATAGCTGGCCTAACGGCTGGACCAAATTGGCTGAATTTTCTTTTCATGGGTAACGCCGGGCACATCAGCTAGTATATATAGCTATACATCTTACGTAAAATATGGAAACCTTGATTGTTATGTACTATGTACTTTAACATCACAACTTATAAATAAGCTTTTGTATGAGTGGTGAAAATCTAGAAAGAGGAGTAAGGAGTGGGTTTGTGAAGAATTTAGAACCAGGAGTAGGGACTGGGTTTGTGTAAAATCTAGAACCAGGAGTAGGGAGTGGGTTTGTGTAAAATCTAGAACCAGGAGTAGGGAGTGGGTTTGTGTAAAATCTAGAACCAGGAGTAGGGAGTGGGTTTGTGTAAAATCTTGAACCAGGAGTAGGAAGTGGGTTTGTGTAAAATCTAGAATCAAGAATAGGGAGTAAACCTATCACTGTAGAATTGTAATTACCATGATTGAGTGTAGGGGAATTAAATTCTATCAATGTAATCTTAAACTAAACGTGAATTAATAAAAATATAAAAACACAACGCATCTATTAGATAAATGAAGGTTTAAACTGAAGATTCTCAAAATCTAACTGATGTTCAGGTTTAAAAAAGAACAGTCATTTGTACATCTTTAAGATTTAACTTTTGTTTCTGATATCCAGGTTCAGGCCTTGATTCAGATTGATATCAAGGTTTAGTTTCAGGTCTTTATTCAGTTTGATATCCGGGTTTAGGTTCAGGTCTTGATTCAGATTGATATCCAGGTTTAGGTTCAGGTCTTGGTTCACTTTGATTTCCAGGTTTAGGTTCAGGTCTTGATTCAGTTTAATATCCAGGTTTAGGTTCAGGTCTAGATTTAGTTTGATATCCAGGTTTAGGTTCAGGTCTTGATTAAGTTTTCTGTTTTATATTCAGGTTCAGGCCTTAATTCAGTTTGATATCTTGGTTAAGTTTTCGGTTTTGATTCAGTTTCAGGTCAAAATACAGTTTTATATCCAGGTTATGGCCTTGATTCTGTTTGATATCCAGGTTCAGTTTGGTATTCAGGTTAAGTTTGGTATTCAGGTTAAGTTTGATATTCAGGTTCAGTTTGATATTCAGGTTCAGTTTGATATTCAGGTTCAACTTTATATCCAGGTTCAGTTTGATGTTCAGATTCAACTTTATAGCCAGGTTCATGCCTGAATTTATTTTGACATCCCATCCTATGGTTAAGAGGTGGGTTTGGAATAAATTAAAAATTGATATAAAAACCTTGTGACTGTGTGCAAATTTAAGCCATGCGTTTGCAAAATCTAATTTAGCAGGAAATGAGGGGAAAGTAGAGTGTAGGATATTTCCTACTAATTATATCCAAGAATCTAGAGACGGCTAGACCCTCCCTCTCATCAATCCTTAGGATACAAATCATCCTGAGCAGAATTATTGGGCCTCCTTCCCCCCCCCCNCTCCCCTTCCTCCCCTCCCTTCCTGTAGAGAGATGGATAGATTTTTTATACTATCTCCTCCCAATCATTGATTAGAACACGATACAATTAATTTTCTCTTAAACCCTCTCTCCGCTCTCTCCACGTTTGATATTTTTTTTCTTTCTTTAAAATTATCCTTCTTTTCTCTCCTGCTCCTGCTCTTACACTTTTCTTTAATTTGAGATTCTAATTATTTATAAAAAATTTTGTTAAGGAACTTATTAATCGCCGCAAACTCTAATATAACAATCTTTATAGTTTTGCCACCAAATGTCGCAGACCATTATATTATAAACTAAAACTCAATCGCTGCTCTTTATTATTTTTGTTGATTTTATGAATTGTTGATTTACAGATATATTTCAAATCATCATTATTCTTTTAGTGTATATAATTTAATCATATTGTTGTCTTGTCAGCAATAATATGAGAATATACATGTTTAACAAGTTTACAATTGGAAAATAATAATAATACTATCTCTCCTCTTTACAACAATCATATTGTAGTCTTGTCAGCCATAATATGAGAATATACATGTTTAACAAGTTTACAATTGGAAAATAATAATAATACTATCTCTCCTCTTTACAACAATCATATTGTTGTCTTGTCAGCCATAATATGAGAATATACATGTTTAACAAGTTTACAATTGGAAAATAATAATAATACTATCTCTCCTCTTTACAACAATCTTATTGTAGTCTTGTTAGCCATAATTTGAGAATATACATGTTTAACAAGTTTACAATTGGAAAATAATAATAATACTATTTCTCCTCTTTACAACAATCTTCTCACAACTATAAATATTTCTACGGAACGGATATGATGAAATCCTATATTTAAAATCCAATTAGAAAAACAGGAAAATATTTTGTATTTGCATGAAAGCCGGGTTTCTCATCAATGAAAATAGATTTGAAAACTTTTCAGCAAATGTCAAATGTCAGTAATGACAAATCCCGGCTCTACAGGGGTTTATCTTTCTTCTAAAATCAATTAAATTATTCTAAAAATTACTTTTTTCAGGAACTCTCGGATTCTAATTTGAAGAAAAGGATGGGATTGAAAACTTGAAATAGTAAAAGGTAGATTATAATATATATATATTCAAACGAGGTCAAATGTCGACTCGGAGCGGATATTTTCAACATTACTCCTCCCTGGCTTCTAACAAAGGTTGAAAATATTAAACCTTGTTCTAGAAATATTCAGTAGAAACAATTCCAGAAAGTGAATAAACAAAATTCAAGTAACGTTTACGGGTTTCTCCGGTTGCCTTTTTTCGAGCTTTCTAAAGGTCTCTGAATTATTCTAATAATCTATAGAGCTTCTCTGGCTTTTATAATCTTTATTTTTCCAAATTAAATGTAATTGCTTATTTTGGGGTTTTAATGATCTTGAGTTCTATTTTATTTACGAAAGTTTCTAGTTCCATGGATTTAAAGTTCTACCGATTTTTCGGGGGGGTTTTAAAGTTCTTCGTTTTACGCATGTTCAAATGTTGTCCAAGTATTTTGGACGTAAAATTGTGTGTGTAACATAGATTCTGTTTATTTTTATGGATTAGAATATGCAGAATAAGATAGAGTACTAGTAGAGCTAGTGAAGGGGTAAGCAGGGGGTATGGTTATGGAATAAGATAGAGTACTAGTAGTGCTAGTGAAGGGTAAGCAGAGGGGGAGGAGGGGTGATGGAATAAGGAAATGAAAGGTTTGAACTCTGTTAAGATAAAATCTAATATTAGGATAGGATTATGTTTCTACTACTACTACTGCTGTGCTAATATTTGCTTGTTGTATGCAGTAAATAGTAAATACCAATATACCTAAATATACAACCTTGATCTTGCGTTTTTATAGCTCAGGGTGTCCCTTAAAAACTTCCGCATCAAATCATTAAACGCAAGAACTTTACTTTTAACACAATTTGAAGTTTCTTGGTTCTACCAAAAATATCCGAAATTCTGTCTTCAGTTCATGAGATCAATATTTTAGAATCTTCGTGGTTCATCTAAAAAATTTCAGTTTTGAAGAAGAGAAAATTGTAGATATCTACGCAAAAAAACCATTCCATAAAATAGTATATATATAAAATAAAATAGTACAGAATCATCAAACTTCTATTTTTTCTTCTTCTACATTTCTAACCGTTTATAAATGATTTTTACTTGTCTCACATTGCCTTGACATTTTACTAAATCTTAAACAAACAATTTTACTTGCCACCCACTTCAACTTCATTCTATCTACTAAAATTTCAAAAATAATTATACTTTTTCGATTATCATATTGTTTAAATTGATTTTACAAGGAAATGTCCTAGACAATTTATTTCAATAAATAATAACCAATTATAAGGAAAACCCACAACAAACTCATACAAAAAAGATGGTTATTTTATTGTTTTTACTTGTACTACTTTGCGTTTTTATAAAGACTCAGTTTCCAGTTACACCTGAAGTTCATGAAAATCAGCTGGTTTGGTTTTAATCAAGGATTTAAGCATTTGTGGTTTAATAAAAGTGCAGGAAGCTTTGATATGTCTTCAGAATTTTAATTGACATTTATGTAAACATAAATCAACCTTAATTCTGTACGCACGTAAACGTATATTCATTCATTGTACCAAAATGCGTAATTCAAACAAAACTACATATAAAGCAGTAATCTCTGTTTGTCTATTAGTTTGTATGTCATATCATAACTCATGAACCCCTTGACCGATTTGCCTCAAATTTTGATTTGATAATTCTTCAGAACTACACAAATTGCTTAGATCTCCAGTCAAAGTTGGGTTACTTAGTAACTTTATAAAATTAGATAAATAATGAATCTGTAGAATAGCTCCGGAATAAGAAATATGCATGAAATAGATTATTACAAACCTTCACACAAGGATGGAAACATGAAGCTAGTAGTCTTCAGTTTTCTAACAGATCAATCAATCAATCGTTCTTAATTTCGTTTAAAACATCATAATTCACAATAAACTTAAGATTACAACACTCGTCAGCTCCAAAATTTTCTATTCCGTTTTTGGGTCAAAACTGTAAGCTTTTTACATATTACAATTTGCATCATGGACAAATTTAAATTTAGGAAATATTGGAATTCAAAGGTTTTCATTGTTATGAGTTTCATTTTGTGTCTGGGTCTTTTGCAGAATACTACACCGTGCAGTGTTTCTTTTATTTTAAGTGTTTTTTTTCTCTATTATTTGTTGTTTAGAATCAAGCATTATTTTGAAGAGCTATTATATCTATATAATAAAACAAGACATTCGTATATATATGTTGTCTTTAGCCAGTCAAACGGCTGGACCGATTGGACTGATTTTTTTGTGGACACTAATGGTGACCGGGGGGTGTTATGGACTAAAAAAATCTCGAAATTTTTTTTCTTTATTTTTTTATTTTCACAAATTTTTTCCCACCGGGCAACGCCGGGCCCTTTAGCTAGTAAAATATTAAAACCATCCTATTAACACATCCTGAAGATAAATGTTCTTTTTTCATTCTTTTAATTCTTTTTGTTTGTATTGTTACTATTGTGAGGATTATTTAGTTATTTCTTTGTTTTCTTATATTTTCACGCTTTGAAAACAGATGTTCTTGTTCAATTCATTAAAGTGCACACATTCATGAACATATTAATTATAATTAATTTTTCATGCAAATTTGGTTAAATCTAATAATCAAAATTAATGAATAATCAAATTAGGTCAGAGTTAAAAATATAGAAATTTCATGGTTTCAAAATAACGGTTCATTAACACTATCTCTAATTTTAATCACAAATATAAGTTGCTAAACAACTGAAATACAAAAAGTGGATTTTTATTCTCTTATAATCTAAAGGCTCTTCACTTTCTTAAGGTTCCCAAAGAAATGAAGATTTGATGGTTCCTACAGTTATGAAATTACCTAAAGTTATGAAGTTTTCTAAAGTTATGAAATTTCCGAAAGATATGATATTTCCTAAAGTTATGAAATTGCCTAAAGATATGATATTTTCTAAAGTTACGAAATTTCCTAAAATTATATTTCCTAAAGTTTTGATGGTTCTTAAAGATATGAAGGTTTCTAAAGTTTTGATGGTTCCTAAAGTTATGATGGTTCCTAAAGTTGTGATGGTTCTTAAAGTTATGAAGGTTCCTAAAGTTTTGATGGTTCTTAAAGTTATGATGGTTCCTAAAGTCTTGATGGTTCTTAAAGTCCCGAAAGTTTGTATGTATAAGTCTGAAGAGTTGTTGAGTAAGATGTAACTAAAGGAACTGGAAACCATATTTTGTGTGTTATATATATCGCAAGAATGACTATAATTACTACCCGTTAATCTGCTCTTTGCTCCAAGCACCAAGCTTGCTAGAAACTAATATGCAAGAACTGTTAAAAGTAGGCTTGAAATACATGATATATGTAACTAAACCAACTGTAGAGTGCTCATAACTCAATACAGGATAGACTTGCAGAAAGGTTTGGGTACACGATGAAGGATTAGTTTTGCAATGCTCTCTCTCCCTCTCCTGATGTGTCTGTATTCAACGTAGGCTGGTTTCAACTCTTTCAAAAGAATTTATAATTATGAATTGCTTTGTGTTTGAGCTTCTTCAGATTTTTCTATTTTGAGTGTATGGGGTTGAGCTTAAAGTGTACAGTGTAGAGAGAGTGTAGAGTGTATATTTGCCGGTGTTACGTTGCAATATTTTATAATATATCAATTATGTCTCCCAGCCATGGCTTCTGTATTAAACTCCGGTATTAGGTTGTTTAAAGTATTTGCAGACCCTCCTCCTCCTCCTTCTACTTGATTACAAAACCTTAAAACCATTTCCTAAAAGTATTCTTTAAATTCAAGGTTCTCATTTATTGACTTAGAGTTGTAACTTTAAACTTGATTAAAAAAGAGTTGTGCAGTGGTAATCAGAAAACTCTAGAATAGGAAAAAAACTTTTAGACCCAATTTTTTTACTTTAAATAGTGTAATTAAATAATGTAAAAAAGCCCAACTCACCTAATACGTAACCTAATAATGTTACTAGTAAAACTATTTGATTTTTAACCACATTAACTACCAATGAGTATTGCTTAAATGTCATCTTCATATTCTACAGTTTTCTGGTTATCACTTTATCTTTGCATGCATGTAAATACCCGTGCATCAAAATATATGTAAATCTTAACATATCTGTATACTTATCTATAAATATACATACATACATAAACATATCTGAGTCCGAATTTAATGAATGAATTTGATCCCCGTCTCAAATCTCAAAAAAAAACGGTTTCAATTGAGCGCCGGCTTAAATCTTGAAACATTAAATAGAATTTTAAGTGGAACCAACCATATTTGAGCCGCGTCTAAAATTTAAGCCGCGGCTCAAATTCTTTAAATTCATGTACATATAAACCTTAAACCATCCATAACATTATGCAATACACTTACACACAATTCGTAAAGCCCTTGTGTACATTGTATAGAGTCATTATTGGTATACAACCCATGTTTGTATAACTACTAAGCAGCCAACTTCTTAACTAACCATAATTGTTGTTATTACTTTTACAATTTTTATGGGTATACAGATGATTATTACACAAGGGTTGGGCTCGTAAAAGAATGCATTTTCATTCATTGCTGCTTAAAATAATCTTGGACTTTTTGCCATTATTCTTCTTTTCTTTATTTGTTTTTAACTAGTTTGGGAACCCAGCTTTGTCTGGGATTTAAACTTTCCTTATCAAAGTCAACCTTCTCAACGTAGAATTACTAATCAAGCAAAGAACATTTCGTTGGTTACACCAAAATTTGAGGCAAATCGGTCAAAGGCTTCATTAGTTATGGTCGGACATAAATACATACAAAGGAGTTGAGTCTTTGCAACAAACTCGAATTTTCTAATCCCTAAATCTGTCCAACCTTATGACGAAACCCTTAGACATTTCAAACTTAGAATATTTAATCTAACATATTTTATAGTTTGAAATATATAAGGTCTACGACATTGGATGGCAAAGATATTAGGATTAGAACATCAGAGTTTGTGGCAAAAACTCAATTCCTTTATTATTTGGATTCTAAAAAACTAAAAAATCTGCCGGAATGAAAACCTTAATTAAATAATATGGCCTCATTGTCCACGATTTAGAGGCGGTCCTTCATTTTCAAAATTAAAAGCGTTTCTCTTCTGAGTTGTTCTACATTATTCATCATGATATTAGTAGCATATCATTAGTTCTTTTCAAAGCTTGATCATTAAATTCATAGTCTAGGAGGGTCGGGAAGCAGAGAACTCAGCAGCTTAAATAATCATATTAGAATCATTAAATTAATATTTTTTTCTGAAGTTAACTTTAAATACTAAAGCATCGGCTAACCTATTTTTTGTAAAATCAAATTATTTTGAGTTTTACCGGCTGTACCGGCTGTACCGGCTGTACCGGCTGTACCGGCTGTACCGGCTGTACCGGCTGACAACATTTTGTACCACTGCTCACTTTTAATTTTCTAAACTTTAGAATTTACAAGAATTTACAATATCTCTTAAAGTAATTTTTTAAAATTGTGTCCAATAATTATTAAGATTTTTTACTTACCTTCTCCGTTTTCTTCTTCTCGGCCTTGAAAATGTCAACTTTTTCATTGTAAATTCTAAAGAAATTTTTGCTTTTAATTCTTGTAAAATTTATTATTCTTGTTTTACGAACCTTGAGAATCTAGTCATATTGGCAGTTATGTTGAGAGTGAAGAGGATACAGAGCGGGATGAATAGGATTAGAACAATTATCAGAAAAAGAGGAAATATTCGTTCTTGTCCTTTCCTAACAAAACAATACATATATACATATATACATACAGTTTTCATATAATCTATGTAATAAAACAAGACATTCATACATATGTTACTTCTAGCCAACCAAACGGCTGGACCAAATGGGCTGAAATTTTTTGCGGACACTCCTGAGTAAACATTTTTTATTATTAAAAAAAAATTTTAAATTTTTTCGACAGAGATATTGTTTTTTTGGATTATTATTATTATTATTTTGGATTATTTGATCTAACATAATTCATAGTTTTAACTATATAAGGCCTTCGACATCGGGTTGAAAAGATAAAGATAATAGAAGACATGAAAAACTATCAAAGGAATTGAGTTTTTCCCACAAACTTTAAGTTTTAAATCCTATATCTTAACAACCCAATGATATAGACCTTAGATATTTCAAACTATGACTTCTTCAATATCAAACAATATAAGTTTGAAATATCAAAGGTTTACATCATTTGGTTGTAGAAATATAGGTATTAGAAAATTGGGATTTGTGGCAAAGACTCAATTCCTTTATTTAACTTATTTTCCCGTGACGGATTTGTAAACTATAAATAATATTAATGTGTCAGGTTTGCCTAACATGATTAGTCTCAATGTCAATTAGTATTAGTTACTGTGTGTCTCCTATAACGAGCTCTATGGTTAAACTAGAACAATAAAATAAATAGAAAAATGTTGACCTTATGTTAATCACTTGTCCGTATGTTCTCTCTATGCCAACCATATAATTATCACATTTGAGAAATAAACTTTAGTTTTCTTTGTTCAACACTCAACTTCTTCCATCTAATTACACGGGTATTTCAGGCAGCTGTAGAAGTTGTGGATAAGGTTTCCAGACTGGGTCGACTTTGATGTGTCGCAACACCTTGGCCTTACCTCACTAACTTATATATTATAATTTTGTAGCCAATAGGCATGTAAACTTTAGATCCACGGCAAGCTTGTGTTTAGCTTCAGTTTAATAATTATTTACATCTACTTTACAGGAAAGTTAAGGGAATTTCAACAAGGGGTTCTAAAACCAATTTTGCCAAAAAAACATCCAGAGCGCAGCAAGGGATTTTTTAAGGCAAAATCGGTCGAGGAAACTCGTGGTTTAGTAAAAAATAAACTAAGTCTCCCCTTCAAGCAGTCAGATTTATAGAGTTTTAATATATATTCTAATAAATATTGATTCTCATAAACAATAATGCATAAATCGTTTTATCACATTAAACTGTCCAATGTCCATTATATCGTGCAATACTTCATTATAAGAATAATTTTTACATTAAAAACAATTATGTCTTAATTCTCCCTGGGAAATTTGAATTAAAATAATTCTCAAACTTTCCCCCGCAGCTCAGCTCACCCTCCCTCCTTCCTGCAGTATAAAACCCTACCCGGAGTAAAGACGGAGAAACTTATAAACCAAACCAATCTTTCAATCTAGACAAAATAACTTGTTAAAAGCATAAAATGAAAAATCACCTTAAAGCACGATTTCCGGCAGGATTTTTTCCATTTCCGGTCAGATCTGTCAGTTCTTGGCTGCTGACTATTCATTATTTATGATAAAACGTGCGTTGAAAATAATACTAAAATAGAACAAAGAAAGGTTGTAGATTAATTATTTTAAACATTTTTTCGTATATTTCAACCAATATTTAAAAAGAGAAATATGATACCACCTGCAATGTTAAATAGTTATTTTGATCCTAAACTGTCAAATTTTCTAAATTAACAGCAAATCTTCCTGGTGGTCTACCATGTGACTTGTGGTCTTTGGAGAGATCAGATAATATTGGATGTTTTGTACATGCACTGTACAATTCACACTGTACATGCACTGTACAATTCACACTGTACATGCACTGAACAATTTACACTGTACACACTGCGCAGATACTGGTCTTTGGCGAGATCAGATAATATTGGATGTTTTGTACATGCACTGTACAATGTACACTGTACATGGTACGTAGATACTGGTCTAAATAAGAATATCTATTTAGGCCGAAATAACTCATCATCAAAAAACGCGTGATACGAGGGTGGTACGCCGTAAATACTGTGAACCAGGCAAGTCTTTATTCATGAGATTCAGTCTAAACTAGCCCAAGCTTGATGAGGAAGATTTATAGAGAATTATTTTCTCCGTAATTCTATAATATATATTCTATAATATCTCGTCTCCTCTTCCTCTCCCCTCCTTCACACTTTGATCTTCTACTCTTCCTATCCCCTTCTTCACACTTTGATCTTCTACTCTTCCTCTTCCTCTCCTCTCATACACACTTTGATCTTCTACTCTTCCTCTCCCCTTCTTCACACTTTGATCTTCTACTCTTCCTCTTCCTCTCCTCTCCTACACACTTTGATCTTCCACTCTTCCTCTCCCCTTCTTCACACTTTGACTTTCTACTCTTCCTCTCCCCTCCTTCACACTTTGATCTTCTCTCGTCACAGTTGAAGAGAAAAAATCCACAAGATGAAAAATAGCTCCCTGGGGGGTCGAGGATGAGGAGAGGGGGGGAGTCAGATTAATTGATTAATTGGTGAGAAGTACTGGAGCACATCATTTCACAGCTGTAAGGTTACTTTTCAGTAAAATATAGCGGAGATCATTTCAACCGGAAACAGATTGGGAGCCTATTTTCATAAATGTACATTGTATACATCCCATTGGTGGTCCATCCTAAGCACATTTGGTTTTAGATTTGAATAGTGTTTTGATAGAATATTAGAAAATTCAGGTTGTTTAATGTCTCTGCAATTTAAAATTGAAAAATAAGGTTTGGCTATCTTTGCTGTGAATAAGTACAGTTACGTATGCAAAGCGAGCAGAGCCTCGTTAGAATTGTTTGAGTAAGGTTCGGTTTCTCTGCAAATCCAGATGAAAAATTATCTAGAACCTGCGGCTCTCCAGGCTCTCTAGGCTCTCTAGGCTCTTCACTTCGGAAATAATTTCTGAAATCCGGGCTTCCATGGGAACTAGAGCTAGGAATTCTGACGTTTTATAAATGTGTTTCCTTTCTTTTATTTTCTTTGAATTTCCCAGAACTGTAAACCCCCCCCCCCCCCTTTACGTTAGATTGCAGTCAATTAAGCCATTAAATTAACATTTGTAAACAAAAATAAAAGAATATAGATGTATGTACGTTTCATGGAAAATAATATCAAGAAATAAGAAAAAAGGTTTAGTGAGAAACAAAATGTACGTGTTAGATGTTTTTACTCCAAAATCAAAGGATGGTTCATGCTTTGTCTACAGTTTTTTAAGGCTATCCAATTGTGCAGGGTAAATTAGATCTTTGACTTTAATAATCTGAACTGGGGCGTGAGCTAGGGGTGCGTATAATATGGGATTCAGGATAGGGATAGCGAAATAGATACATTTTGGATATCCAGAATTGCCTGTTATTCCTGATTAAATTTACATTTCTTCACAAAAGAGAATAATGCAAGGATAATGTATTTTATCATCAAAGAAAATAGAAGTAAATAAATGAGAGGGAGAGGGGGGGGGAGAGAGAGAATAGAGGATAATATTTGGATAATAAATCTAATTATCAAAGAAAATAAAAGAATTTAAAAAATTCAAGGAAAGAAAAGAGAAGAAAAATGGAGGGAATGGGGAGGCGGAGAATACGTGATAATATTTGGATAATGGATTTTATTATTAAACAAAAAGAAAAAGAAAGAAAAGAAGAGAGAGAACTCCTCTCATNGATATACAGATGAGATGGAACCAGAAAAACAAGATTATAAATCTTTATAAATTAGGAAATCTAAAACTATAAATCACGTTAAACTAAGGTAAAATGCACGCATATAAAAATCTTAAAACCCTCTTATTGATGAGTTATGGAGGAGAACAAGAATATTTTAATTTTTTAATGCGTAACCAAACAGATTAATTTGCTTTTTCATACAAAACTAGAGAAGCTACGAGGTCACAAAGCCCTACCACCAGAGCTGCATACAATTAACCTTCTCCGTTTGGTGCAGTTTGCAGTTTGCAGTGTAACGTTTAAATGTCTAAATATGTACATGTGCATGATATTATATATTATATATACTCTGTATGTTTACTGTATTTGCCAGCGGGAGAAATTCTAAAAATTGCTCAATTCAGACCCTCAGGCAATATCAACAACTCACATACTTGCTCATACAATCATACACCTTACATTTGATATACTTTTGTATATTTTATACTACACATGGTATAAAGTAACATTTAATTTTATACAATATATACATTAAATATGGTATAAAGTAACATTTACTATACTTTTGTATATTCTATACAATATATGCAATATGCATTGTATATAGTAACATTTACTATACTTTTCTACAATGTATACAGTACATACACTACACATGGTGTATATTAACATTTACTATACTTTTCTACAATGTATACAATACATACAATACACAGGGTGTACAGTAACATTTACTATACTTTTGTACATTGTATACATATGATATGTATTAACATGTCGGTACAGTAGTTCTTCTTTGTACAAGTTATTACATATTTTATAAAACATACAACTGTTCAATAAGAAGAAAATGTACATAAAATGTACAAAGGTTCCAACCTAGCATTTCTTCTCTAATTTCTTGTAAATCTACAATATTCAGCTGAACATTTTCAAAATCATCGACGTACACATAACGAAGAAGATTACATTGACCAGAGATGGGTACTTTATAAAAATGTGGCTTAAAAATTCCAAAGGTTGGCTTCCTTCAGATGTTTCCAATTGCCAGGGTACTGGAAGTATCCAAAGCGTTCTTCAAGCTGGATACAGATTGTCAGTTTATAAAATCATAAGCAGAGGAGTCTTTTATAAGTTTATATACAGGGTGTCCCATAAAACATGGGAATTCAGTGACGAATTCGATATTGTCTTTGTTATGAATTAGCATTGTAATACCTGATTTCAAAAGCCATAATGTCTGCTAGAGTTTATTTTATGAAAAGGATAAAAGACTGAAAAGATGTGTCTATAATGTCTCCGCAAGATGAACAGTGAAAACG